GGCGCGTTTCTTCCAGCCTTGCTTGAATTCCAAAACTGGAAATTGGAAATCTCGTAGGAGAGCTCGTTCGCTTTTCTTCCCGTCGGCACCATTCCAGCGGGAGAAAATCGGGAGGTTGCGACTAGGTTGCCTCGACTCTAGGACGGTAGGTCCAAACAATCGCCTGCCTTGAGGCAAGGGACCGATTAGGTCCAACAGCGGTGAGATTGCTGTGATTGGTTGAAACAATATGTGGCTGTCGCCCGCAATTCTGGGATACGGATCCAGCGATAACGTCGCGATCGCAAAATTATATCGTTCTTCGATCCCCAAGTTGGATAAAAATATATATACAAGAGCATGTAATATATATTGAAATATGTATAAAAATATGATGCATCTGAGTCTCCGTCAACTTTATCACGTTAAAGATAGGAATAGCGAAATTGGCGAAGTCGAGAGTACTGATTGCGAGATCGCTACGGCGACATATCCCAGAACAGCAGACTATGCCCAAAACTTTCGAGCTTTCCACAGAACGTTTTCTTTATTTTATTCGGAACATGTCGATAATATGACACTCAATAAATAACAGAACTTCTACATCTCCAAATTCTGCTGTCAGATTGTCCTGCCGAATCGCCGGAGTGCGAGGCTTTGCGTGAACGCTTGCTTTTCTCTTTACGAAGAGATAAAAAAGAGAAAAGAAAAAAAGGAAACGAAGATATCTTCGGGTTTAGATCGCGCAGTTTACCTTACATTTAATTACCCTTTCTTTGAAAGAAGATTATACGACTACGTTAAGTTTATACATAAATTCCTCTTTTATACATTTCAGATAATTAACACAATTTTATATAATTATATATAATTTTTATAATTATATGTGGTAATACATATATTTTAAAAATTATATATTTAATTATATAAAAATAATATATATACACATTACTACATTTACTCTTTTATTTTCGGGAGAAAATTGCGCAATCGCAACCCGATTTGATCTTCGATAAATCAATGGCAACTTTAACATAACCATCGGTGATAATTCCACGTTCGTTTTCATCTCTCTTTTTTGATTCTTTCTGAAAAGCCTCATCTCTCGAGCCCGATATTATCTAAACAGGCACTTGATAAAAAAAATCGTCTTAATGGTTTTATAAATCTTAATAATTTTACTTGTATCCTTGAGCGGTCAACAATCCTTGGCCCTCGGACGATCGCGAACGAGGCGTTGTATTTGCAAGAAAGTAAAGCGATAGAGTGTTCGCGGGGGAGATTCGGAAAGACAACCCCTGAAAAATAAAGGAATTATAATAACGATGCGTAGATCATATTTTGGTACGTACACGTGTCGTACGGCGCGCTTTCAATGCTGTTTCATTTTCATTTCTTTTTTTTTCTGCTTTTTTGTGTGTTTTTTTGTCGAGGTGTCGGTAGTTGTACCGGACGATGACGGTGGGCGAGAGTGGTGGTCGAAAGAACGAAAACCAGCAGCAGGGTGCCTATTGAAGACAGCACACAGGAAGCAACCGAGGTCTTCATTATCGCGCCTACGTATATATGAACGATTAACAATAGCATAAATAATCTATCGCGTGCATATGGATGATCCTTCGTTATCTTTCGTTTAAATCTCAGCTCGACGAGATCGTTTTCCTTATATAAAGAAATGATTAACATTGAGCTAAAAGTTGACATCTAAATCAAATTTTGCTAAATAACTGATTTACTTTCTTCCTTTTTTTTTTTCTGAAGAAATCGACGAGTCGAATTAGGATGTAAAAGTAATCGGCATCGATTCTACTTCCGGAAAGAGATGAACGAAGATCTAAATCAAGAGTAAATTTAACTCGAATGATAAATACATTAGCTGCTCTACATGTCAAAATAACGATACAATTATTCTCAACTGGCTGCAAAGTTAAGATAATCTTTTACAGCTACAGTAGGAACAGTGCGTTTCACAGATGGACTTAACGGTACAAAAGCAACGGGAATTTCACGTAAAAACGGACAGTCCGTTAACGTTATCAATAGACACCCTGAGTAGAAATTGATAAGAGCGTACAGTAGATAGAGGATAAGATGTTAAGTGAGCCGGAAAGTAGATTAAAGAAGTTTGGGAGGTGCAGAGTTTTTGGTAGACAGAATAGAATAATTCGACAAATTTGGTAAAGGACAAGGAATTGAGAGTGTTCGATCGTAGAGCAAAGTGCGATATCAAGACTATCAAGCTATCTATATCAATGCTATACTACCACACAATTTCGCGAGTCGTATATTCATAAACGGAATGAAAGAAACGAAAAAAATTTCAGAATGATCGCGAGGGTAAGACTTGTTTGAGATCGGAGACAAAACGACGCTCTACGATCGGTATACGAGAATCAGCGAAACGTGGGAAGGGAAAAGGAAGAGTGAAGAAAACGGCGTGAGTCGAGTGTAGAGAGCTGGTGTTCGATTCCGTGAGCACCCTCCGTACTTACCACTCACTCATGCGTCGCCAACATTGTTCCTTTGGCAAAAGGAAAAAGGGGACTTTCTTAGGCCGAGTCGATCACTTTCGTCAAATCAAACTTAACTCACAATTTCAACCTATTCATATGTATGAATTATTTGTTATGTGCTTTTACATTTAGATCTTCATTGATTGTCAGAAGCTTAACTGCAGCAATTAGCTTTATTTTATTTCTTGAATTTGTAATTTATTAAAAATTTCGCCAAAACAGTAATTTAGAAATTTTGTTAAATTTGTAAATTTTAAATAAATGTAAGTAAAATAAGTTTTTTAAATCAAGAGACTCAAATTTGGAAGATTGGAACTTTGCAATTTTAATGCAAATCGCGAAAGTTGATTCGACTCGACTCGGTGTATTAACAAAATAAAATTCGGCAGACTAACCTGAGGCGACTGAATCTTCACACTGCGGCTAGCATATGCATCAAAAATTATAATCCGATTTCTCTTTTTTGCATTAATCTATACTATTGATTCTATAATACGACAGTTTGGAGAGATTGATCAAGTTAAACCAAAACTCTATATCATACCAAAATTATTTTCTATCATTTATCCTCACTTCCCTTCATCAGTACAAAAATCAGTTAGTGATTTATTCTTCTAAAAAAAAGGGAAATATTTGCTATTTTGTCACGGAGAAATCGAAGTTTCAAATAAAATCGGTTCAAATGAAAGAAATTTTTCAGAAATTAAACAGATAATAAAAAATTCGCTAAATGAATCAAATTATAAACCTGTTCTTCAATATGTAAGTAAATTCAAGTGACCTATTGGTTTTATTAGTCACTTAATTGCGAACGTTTCGAAATATCTGTTTATAAATGTTTACACAACTTCTTTTCGAATTTTCAAAAATCCAAAATAGACAATATTTTCTATATTCACTGAGAGATTAAGCGAGTTTCAGATTAATATTTTTCTCATTTAAAAGAAGAAATTATCATCTTCGATTTTTCCGGAACCTTTGCCAGTTTAAATTTACTCAGCAAATCGAGAAAAAAATTTCAAACATTACGAAACGGAACTGTCTCGAGAGTGTTCTCTCATCTCGAGCTCTACATAGTCAAGTGAATCATCATCCAGCTGCAGCGTGAAGTGCCACCTTATCCGCGATTGCGCCTCTCCAAAAGGACACTGCAGGTGCACAGAGGCTGAGGGGAACAGCGCGTGATGGAAACGGTCTACTGCGCGAAAAAGGAAAACTTTAAGGAGGAAAACACGTGGCATTTTGTCGCTATCGAAGGTACAATCATTCCCCGAAAAATTGCAGAGTCAATCATTAATTTTACAACATTACGGGGTAAATGTGACCTTATCAGATTTTTTTTCAATGATAAAATCAGCCCTCATTCGACCGAAGAAAATTTAACAAACATGTTTATACAACATATTTATACTTATAATTAATTAAAATATATTATCAATAATAATATATTCCAAAAGTTTTTTATTGTAAATAAATACACATATTTCATATGAATTTCATATTTTTCACATTTTTTTATTTTAGCTTATTAATGTTGTTTAAATATATTAAAATTCATAATGAAATATTAATGCGCGTTATTTATATAACAATATTTAAGATGTTGCATATAATAATTTGAAAAATTTCAAAATTAACAAAGGTTCGATCGCTGCACATAAGGAATTTTATCATTGAAAATTTTAGCAACATCACCATTACCTCGTTGTTGCAATTAAAGGATTCGTTACAGAAGTAAAACGATAAATTCGTAAGACTCAGATTTTAGATGTGATTTCTATTTTAATTGACCTCGCAGGTTGAGGAACTCATCGGACTTTCGCATCGAATCCTTGGATTTCGATTGACCCTTTTTATACGAAAGGATAACATCTATTACGCGCCGTATTATCGAAACGCAAACTCGATAGACATACCAGTAGTGCAATACAATGGTTGTCCGATGCATAACGAAAAATCGCGAGGTAAGTCAGTAAATAAAGAATTGATTCACGCCGGCATTTCCGCGCAGGATGAATAATAGTATTATTATAGGGTGTTTACTCTGATTTCATTCCATAGAAAAAACGCCGAAGCTTGCTCAAATTTATTATCTCACCTGACACACGATCGATGTAACGTGGGTGCACACGCACGCACACATACATACACACAAACACATGTATGCACTCATACTCAATAAGGATGATTAACATTTCGCTTTTCTTTTTTTTCGTACAAATAGCGTAAAGCAGAGGGCGAAGAGAACGAAAAAGCCGACCGTTTCCAGCGCGCACCAATTTCTTCGAAGAAACCCTCTCAGATATCGGTGATGCGATGTAAGTGCATGTGTCTTTTTTTCTCT